AAAACAAAAGGAGGTCAGCTTGGTCTCATAGTGGAGTCAGTGAACCCTGCCTTCACACACAAGAAAATTGCAGTATGGAGGACTCAAATGCAGGATTCCTCCATTGCCAGTTGCTTGTCAACCCTCAGGTGAAGATTACAGAGGCCTCGATCAACCTCATCCACTTACACATCTCTCTACTTTCCTTCCATGATGCATTGGTTAGTTAACTTAAATATCTTTCCCAACAGGTTCTCCCACTCTAATAATTACCAGATAAAGCAAGCTGAGGGCAGTCACCTCTCCAGCTGCCTTTTCCACTGCTGAAAGCAAACAGGGAGCAGATATTAGGTACGCTGTGGAATCAGCAGCAGAAAACCTATCAACAAAACATAATTTACAATTACAGAAACTAAACAAAGGTGGGGAGCTAAGGCAATTCTGCCTCCCCAACTAGGGGACCGATCCCTTATGCCTTACTCAAAATGTCATGGCTCTCCAACTTGCTGAGCCCAGTTCAAATTTTTAGTACACTGTCTCGGGTACCTGCACTGTAGACAAATTACACGGCATCAACAGTCCCTCCAGTTCAGCAAGAACTTACTTTAAAAGCCCTAAGACTCCTCTAAAAACAGGCTACAATTTAGATGTGAATTGTCTCTCTATTCCTATACCATTACATTCTCTTTTAATCACCTTTTAATTATTTTGAAGAATAKTAAACAATCACAAAGAAACATACTAAAGTCCACAGAAAAATAATGGCATTTAAGGATGCAAAACAGCTGACATAGGAAGCCTTACAGATCACACTAYCTAAAAATATTTGATTTTGGTCCCATAGTGAGTAAAGGATTTTGAGTTTCAGAGGGCAGAGGGCAAGAACTTGTTATCTTCTSCAAAAAGCACTCAAGCCCTTTATTATTTAATGCTTTGATCTAAAGAGTTTTCTCACACCTGTCGTCAAAGGACCCTTTATAACAATAACAGAATGCACAACTTCACAGGAATAGAAACARCCACAACAAACTCACTGTTTGCCTTTTAGTCACCAAATCCTAAACCATAAAAGCATTAAGTCAATTCCAGCTGTAACCACAAATACTAATGCTTTCCCAATAATTAATTTGCCTTGAAAACTGTAAGTTTTGTATTCAAGAAGTGTTCTCAATTCTACTTAATACACTGTTCTTTATTATCGCTCTCCTTATGGGCACTGCCACCATCCATAAATGCTCTAGCCGACAGCAACACCAAAACCATATTGTGAACTGGCCACTGTAACAGCACGGGAATTAGCAGCACACCAGGACTGTCAGTCACCTAATTCCTTGGCTCTACACACTGAATTTCGGGAAGCAATAGCATCCCACCTGCACAGTATCACCCTGGAAGAATGATAGGGGCTGAGGGGTGGAAACTCCYTCCCCAGAAGAGCTTTCTTGCTGCTGAACTTGTGCGATGCCAAAATCCCGAGCAGTGCGCTGTAGCACTTGGTCTGAAGCTTTACCAACACCTTTGGGTTTGTTTTTTTTTTGTTTTTTCAAAATTACTTATTTTAAATGAACGGTCAAGTCTGGGTCAGTACCGAGCAGGACCGAAGTGGGCGGTGAGCGGCTGCTCCCACAGARACACCCGCGGTGTCTGGGCTGAGGCTGTGGGCGCTCTCAGCACATTCGCAGGCTGAAGCACCACCGCCGACCCCTCCAACACCGGCGAGGCCTCCTCGCCTCTGCCCCGGGCACCCCGAGGCCTTGCGGGGGCCGAGACGCCCCGCGCCCGCCCCGTCCCCGGACCCCGCCCGGGGCTCCGCGCCGCCTCGGCAGCCCCGTTCCCCCGCAGAGGTCCCTTTTCCCCCCGAGGGCTGAGGGCAGACCCTGACCTGGCCCCAGCACTGAGCTGGCCCGGCACTGACCTGGCCCGGCGCCGGCGGAGCAGCGGAGGCGGGCGGTGCTGCGGGGAAAGGGCCCCGCCGGGAACCGCAGCCGTGGTCTCGGGGCCGGGCCCACAGCCGCCTGCCCGCGCCCTGGGAGCAGCGGGATCCGGGCAGCCCCGGCCGAGCAAAGGGCATTGAAAGCCTCTTGAGCCGCCGGGATCTGGGGGCTAACTTGGAGCGGGCCGGAAAGGTCCTGTACCACATCTTAGCGGGGTGACCCCGAGCACCGAGAGCTCTGCACAAATTTAGATAGTTTTGCAGTAGACGATTATTGTTAGCTCCTAGCTTGCTAAACACTCCCTAAGCAGGTCGTCATTATTGGTTTTTTTCCTGCACCGATCGCCTCCATCTCTAAAAACCAAGCCCTGTGTTTGTATCGTAACCAGCGTAATTAAAGATCCTCGTTTCTCCGCTGTCTCAGAACAAGGTCGCTCAGGTTCGGATACGAATCGCTGCCGGGAGATTCTGCCCGGAGCGTGGGGCCCCCTCTTGCTCTGCCTGGTGTTGCRCAGCAGGCAGCAGAGATGTTAGCTCCCTATCCACGGCGCCACAAGGAGACACTTGGGCTCCCCATTTTCACATCCATCTATATCACCTGCCAGCCTATATAGGAGCTCTTTTCAGCTGTTCCGTTCCTGTCCAGCTGCAGGCGCCGCTCACCTGCACCCAGCTCTGTGACAGTGCTGAGCCAGCCGCAAACTGCCCCGGCATCCAACTGGAATTCTGTGCAAACTTGCGGCTGGCGTAAAATGGCACTGTCACACACAGTCCTGCCCTCGGTTTCCTTCCTTGGAAAAACAAATGCCAGCAGCYAGATCAAGGGAAATAAATGGTTTCAATGAAGATCACTTAGTGCTTTGCATATTCAAAGCAACATGCAAATATGAGCCAGTCTTTCTTTCTGCGCCCTTGTTAATAGACATACATCGGATGACTCAATTTTAAGTATTTGTAGCATGGCTGAAAAATATATCCGGAAATACATGTTCTCCACCTTTATTAAAGCTRTTTTTCAACCCAAGTGTCAACACAAATGTTCCAAAGTTGGCTTAGTTTATTAAAAATTATGATTGAATATGTAGAGGACTTCAATTAATCACACATTTGGAAAAACAAAAGCTTTGCATGCTGAACAGATACTTTCAACTCTGTATTGTTCAGGGATTCAAGAATATGAAATATTCTAGTCCCGGGTAGTGCTGTCTTTATACAACAAAAGGATTCATTTCCTTATAACAACACTGCCAGTGTGAGCAGAAATACTGCCACAGGCAGGCTTGCCTCTTATTCTTCCTATTGGGTTTGCAAAGAATTTTTCCAGTASGATTCAGCCCTGCGTTTGTGTCTGGAAAACCTCAGTAAAGATCTGTGTGAGTGAAGCAGCTCTCACCAGGTCCTGCTCCGAGGCCTTGTCCTCTTTCGGAGCGGAGCGATGCCGAGGCACGTCCCAGCTCGGTCGGAAGCAGAGGAGGGCGATGATGACGGGAAGCTCTGGTTTTCCAGGTAAGACATTGCCACCTAGCAGCACTTGGTGGAAGTAGCACAAACCGGACCTGCAGTTCCATAAACCAGTTAGCCTCATTTTTGGTTTTATTGCCTTGTGTCATATAGGATGTGATTATAAGACTAGGATACACTCAGAGTGAAGAATGAGGACTGTAGGAAAATGAACAGGTTAATGGGATTATCTTCGAAAGCAGACACTAAAGACCAGACAGGCTGTAACTTTCAGCAGGATGGTGACTAGTCCCTGCAKGTTTGACTGTACAATAAGAAAGAAATTGAAAGAAGAGGAAAAAATGTACAATCCTTCAAAGCTGCTTATTCTTATTCTTGTAAATAATTCCACTGATTTTAGTAACACTTTCTCCTTGCATTGCTGAAGCAGTACTGACCTGGGTCACCACCTGAATTATATACAATGTGCCCATTCCCTGTCCCTGACCCAGAAGCTGGCTACGATGTACTGGCTAAAAGAGCAGTGCTTCACTCTCRGATTCAAGGCTGCCAGACTGAAATATTGAATTCCAATAGATACAGAGCTCCCGGGTGCTATTTTTACAAACTCCTTTCAGAACAATGGAACAATAGATGACAGATCTGGGCTTGGATCTCAGGAATTATTGGAGATCTCAGGAATTATTGGATACTAACCGACACGTAACCCCACAGTCAGTTCATAAAGGGTCCCTTGACTGTAATTTTTGGAGGCAAATATCATCAGCTCTGTGTGGAAGTGTGGCAGGCTAAATGATCATGTAACATGTACTCCAAAGACTAGACCCACAAAAAAATGTGGACACATGCATTCTATTCCTAAATTTCTGAAATCTGTCTAAAATTTAGACTTCTGGATCCAAAATCATGATATTCAGTTTCTCCTTACAGCCTAACCCTGGAGGCCCCCAAATCCCTTCTGTGCCTGACRGCTGTGATTCATGGGAAGAGACAATTTATATCAGGTTAGCTAACAAGACTACCACCCCAGCTGTCTCTCCTGTCCTCACTGTAGATATCTGAAATACCCCTGAGCTGCTGCAGCTTTCTAAATGAAGCTCCGCATGCCAAGTTACATTTGGTTTGATTTTGTTAGGCAGGGGCTGGCTGGGGACAGGGCAGTCACCGTGAGCACCTCAGAACTGCAACTTTATCAGTACTTGTATGTCAGCCCTCCTGCACTTCATGCACCAAARCTGCCAGTATGCAAGACCAAGGTTATTTCTCACACAATATTTGGCTGCTGAATGTGTTTGCAAAGGGCTCAGCTCTTCCCAGGTAGCCCAGTCCTACCACAATATGTTGATTTTATGTTCTCTGTTCATCTTGTTTAGGGATTTCCTCCTGCAGAGAAGACTCCAAGCTCCAGCAAGGCATAGCTGAAAGATGAGGTAAAGAAACACAGGTGTCTGTTGTGCAGCACGGGAAGTGTTACCCATGACCTCTTCTGCCAAAGCAAACCAACTCATTTCTSTGGGGAAGGTGCTCTGATCAGGAGGCTGTGGTGTATTCTTGGGAAGCTGAGGGAAAGGAACCCTGGTCCCCATGCCAAAAGCTGTTTCYCTTGGTAAAGCATAATGAAACAGTCATCAGGCCAGAAAGCAGAAGAGAGGTTCAACATGGCCACAGCTTGCTCACACTCTCAGTGACCCAGAAAATACTGATGTATTKAAATATTAATAGCTGCTTAAGTTAGTGTATGACTCTATGGTCTCGAAGGTCTTTTCCAACCTAAACTGTTCCATGTTTCTGTGCCATATAGAGCAGCTTGRACAGGTAGGGTGAAGTGTATTCTTGCTCTGCAAAGTCCTCTGCATGGTTACAGCTCACCACGGGAAGAGTGGCCTCAGTCCAGCCAAAAGGGCCATCAAGCCCCTACCACTTGCTCTCACCTTTCACTTCACCAACACTGTTATTCGATTAGACACTAATTTTCTGATAGAAAATATATACAGTACAAAAATACGMTTGTGTGTGGTGTAGTATCCTACACAAGATCTGATTTCACAAGACAAAATACCAGCCCACTTCCACTGAGAGGTGGTGGTCCCACACTTCCTCCTCGTTCCTGGGAGTGAGAACCAAGGGTGAGCCAGCTGAGCTCACTGAACTGGCAGGAAACTGTTTTAGCACAGCAACTGTTTCTGTTTTGATTCCAGGGCTAGGGAACTAAACCAGCCTGGCTTGCTGCTGGTGGAGCCTGAGGGACACAAAGCAGGGGAAAGAAGATGGAGGAAACTGGAGGAGGAAGACCGTCCTATTTTAGCAGCATCAAGTTATCAAATGGGCTCAGTTTATTATTAGCTCTGACTCTCCCAGGGGCACTCCGGGCTTTGCCAGTTTGAGGAGAGGAAATGGATTGGGAGAGGAAGTGGGTTAGGAATACGTGGCCCAGGGCAAAGCTGAGAGGTGTATGAGTGGCTCCCTTCTTCTGAGGGGGCAGCTGGCCACTGGGACAGGCTAATTGTACAGGGAAACTCCACCCTAAATCTCTTTGAAGATCTGGTTTTCTTTGCTGCCTTAGATATCTGTTGCTACTCTATTCTGTAAAACTTTCAGGAAAATAAAGCATCTTTTTCTCCAAGTGCATTTGAATTAAGCCAAAGTAGGCCAGGTGATAATTGCACACCACATTCTAGCACTGCTTAAATGTCAGATGTTAATTAAAGCCTTCTTGAAAATGGGTCATTAATTAGGGCAAATGCAGCCATTCTTTATGGATTCAAACTAACCAGTGAGTAAAAGCATTATTTCAACACTGGTATTGAAATTGTTAATTTTTATTTGTCTGAGGTGTGTTTGTTWTTAAAAGAAAAACAACTGAAAATAATTATAACTTCTTGAACTTACTGTTCTTTCTTTTAAAGACAGTTTTAAATAAATATTTTGGCATAAAAATATTCACGCACACAGATTGCAATAGGAACATTTCAGTATTAGGTCCAGATGTCTCTAGCAGTTGTATAACCTTGGTAGGAATGCTTAAATGCTGTAGATAATAAAATACAACACTGACCTGCAAAAACAGCCTTTTGTGGCACTTCCCTTTTGTCTTTCTGTTCTTAAGAAAATGGCACCATCTGCATGAATAATGGTACACAGACAYCAAAATGTTTGCTAAATCAGGGCCAAAAAGTAAGGCATGTATTTCCTTTGAAACTTTCTGAACAACTGTGAATTACTGGGGAGAATTATAATATTGATAAAGGATCTAAGTGTTCAAGACTAAAGATATRTATATCCAAGCCTTGCAGCTTAACCATCTTGCTTATTGTCTCTTTGGCCTGGATTCAGCAAAGCAATTAAGCCCCTAAATAGCCCCATTGATTTCAGTGACACATAAGCAGTTGGTTGAATCAGGCCCATTCTGCCTGCCAAACTGCATTCCTTCTTGTGTCCCAGTGTATTAGAGATTTTGGAACAGCAGTTCAAGTTATTATCATTAGCTGTAACATGAAATCTTGGTCTATGTTGGCACTTCTGTGCTTAGATACYTCTGCAGGAGGTCCATGTACAAGAAACTATGCAGAGATCTGGCTGAAGATTTCAGTTTTTCATGGCATCATTGCTGCAT